GGGTTTTGGCTTGGAATTCTGGGTCCAGGAGACCCTCTGTGGGGGAGTGAACTCTGTGTGATGTACAGCTGGGGGGCATCTGCTGTAAGTCGAAAAGTTACTTTGTGGAATGGGAAGAGCAGCATTGGCTGGCCAGATTGGAGACATCCACCTTTCTGGAAAGCAAAAGGTCTGAAGTGGGAAGAAATTACAATCTGTTCTCAGACAAGTCAGAGAATGACTGATAGACATTTTATTTTCTGTGGCAGGCTCAGAGATCTATGGTCTGTTTGATAATGACAGTTTGCTCTTGAACGGAATCCTGATGCCTTTTTCTTTAACCCTTGACTGAAGAGCTTGGGATGTTGTTAGCTAATGACATTCTGTCTACAGGCCTTTCTCTTAATTGTATCTTCTCTTTAACACCTGTCTCCTGGGAAGATTGGTTTGCACTGGTTAGACTCAGATATATTGCGCTCTGTACCGAGGTATATAGAGAGCTATAATCTTCTTTAGGAAGGAACTATCAGTTGCACACATACAAAATGGGAAGCAACTGTCTAGGAAGGAGTACGGCAGAAAGGGATCTAGAGTTATAGTGGACCACAAGCTAAATATGAGTCAACAGTTTGACACTGTTGCAAAAAAAGCCAACATGATTCTGGGCTGCATTAACAGGAGTGTGGGGTGGTAAGACACGAGAAGTCATTCTTCCGCTCTACTCTGCACTGATTAGGCCTCAACTGGACTATTGTGGCCAGTCCTGGGTACCACATTTCAGAAAAGATGTGGATAGATGGGAAACAGTCCAGAGAAGAGCAACAAAAATGACGACTCATCTAGAAAACAAGACCCGTGAAGGAAGATTGAAAGAACTGGGTTTGTTTAGTCTGGCAAAGAGAAGACTGAGAGGGGACACGATAGCAGCTTTTTAGCCCATAAAAGATTACAAGGAGGAGAGAGAACAATTATTCTCCTCAACCTCTGAAGATAGGACAAGAAGCAATGGGCTTAACTTGCAGCAAGGGAGGTTTAGGTTGGACATTAGGAAAAAGTTCCTACTTGTCAGGGTGGTGAAACACTGGAATAAATTGCCCAGGGAGGTTGTGGATTCTCCGTTACTGGAGACTTTTAACAGCAGGTTAAACAGCTGCCAGGGATGATCTGGATGGTGCTTGGTCCTGCCGTGAAGACAGGGGACTGGATTTGATGGCCTCTCCAGGTGCCTGCCAGTCCCGTGATTCCATGATTCCAGTACCGGGAGGCTCTGGGGTATGTGGCTATGCAGCTGTGTTTTGGGGTAAGGTTTGGCTTGCCATGTTGTTGCTGATTCCACAGAGTGAGTAGCCACCGCCTGACTCATCTGGGGGTCGGATAAAGCGCACATTGGCAGTGATGCTGGGGAGGGACACTGCTTTATTAGGGTTACTCGCTATTTCATAGTTGTTAAGTAGCAACAATTTGCTCAGCTCGGTTCAAGCCAGGGTGTGTGTGTGTGTGTGTGATATATATATATATATCCTGTGTTGAGGATTTAGCAAGAGTCTGCTTAGTTTACAATCCAGACTGAGACCATACCCCAAAGCACTTGCTTAGTTTTCCCTGTGGCCAAACTCCTGCTGACCTCAGAGAGACCTTTGCCTTTGGAAGCCCAGGGTGAGTTTTTTTTAAATCTAAATAATGTGCATAACAATCCTAAGGCCTCCTGTTTGGGTCCAGACTTTATGTGGAAAACATTCAGGCCAGGGCTTGTGAAAGTCCATGCAGCACTTAGAACATCTTCTCAGTCAGGGAGGAGATGAGACTAAAATAAACAAATTGGGCAAAGAAATGGAGGTTCTGAGTAATTCTAGCAAGTCCTTTAAAAGCGGTGTGTGGTGAGTGGTACACGTCACCCTGCGGTTGTCAATAGCACAAGGGCTCTGTGGGAGTGAAGAGCAATGTAAGTTGTTCACGATTCTTCCAGCGTTAAGGTCGGGAGAGCTGCTGTTTGCTGTTGCCTGCTACTCGGGTTAGGTCCCACCTCTCTTTGGTGAACCTGTTTTGTTTCCTCTCCACGTGGCCCAGACAGAGCTAGACAAGAGCGTTACTGCACAGTCCCCTTTATCCTGCTTCTTTTTCAGGAGACAGATTTCTAGCAAAGCTGGAATTAGTCATGTTAGCATCATGCACCAGAAGTCACAAACACTGGCAAATGGCAGGAGGCGCAAGTGAGCCATGTGCTGATCAAGGGGGTTAAAATGGGCCTTGTTTGGTCCAGAGAGCATGTGATCGGACGCACCACACAGCAGTCATCTTCTGCCATGTGTTATTAAACACACACGTGTTACCAATGTAAGTTCTAACTGTGTTAAGAACCTGCAAAGGGGAGGATAGGGAGATGGGTACAAAAACTGAGAAGCAAGTTAAAAGGGCAATTAGAGGAGCAGAAAGAGATCGCAAGCAGTGAACTGGAGAGGATATTTTCACGCATAGTCAAAGCTTCTGGAGATATATTCAGAGCAGACAGAAGGTAAAAGAGAAAATTGGTCCATTACCAAATGATAGCAGGGAATTGGTGACAAGGGAGACTGTAATGGCTCATGGCTGATTCGTTAAACAGTTATTTTGATTCTGTTTTTACAGAGGAGGAAGGGGAGCTGCCTGAGAGAGGATCAGATTGCTCGATGAGGTAGGGGAAGAGCTCAGGAGAATGGAGGGAGATATGCAGAGTGTTCTGGAGAGACTGGACACATTGAGAATTCAGCCACACTCAGGAACATAGTGGAAATAGATCCGCCGCGAGTGACTTTCCAGAGGCCTAATCAAGGGTGGGTTTGTTCATGTGTCTGCGCAGATGAGACGAGGAAAGCTCCGAGATTGCCGTTTGCTGGAAGGGTTTGGATCTGGCCTGTGACGAACGCAGGGACTAGAGAGCACGGCTGAATCTCGCAGCGAGGCAGCTGGGCGGCCAGAGTGGAGAATGAACACGCATTAAGTGTTGCCCGAGGGAATTCAGAGCCTGCAGGGCCACTGCGGGAAGCTCAGAGTAGGCAAACCGCCTCCTGGGCCACTGCAGAGGACAGCTGGGGGGCTGGAGCTCAGTCCTGCTCATTGGTTCTGTGGGGCAGTTCTCTTGCCCTGGGGAGGGTGCAGCAGAGAGCCAGGGGGCAGTTACGGGGAAAGCTGTGGCTGTCCTACACAGGAGTGATTCAACCCACAGCTGAGAGCCCTGAGAAGACACATCTCAAGGACCGACCTGTTCCTCTCTCTGGGACTTGAGCTGTTCTCGCACCCCTCTGCACTCTTAGAGGGGCAGGCCGGTGAGGCTGGGGGCTGTTGATGTGTGAGGAGACTCAGAGGGAACATTTTAGTCTGGCCTGTGTAACACCATTCATGGCATTTCACCAAGGCTGGGACTTGCGGGTGAGCTGGAGCAAACCTTTCAGAAGAGATCCCATCTGGAGGCAAGGATCCAAGTAATGGAGAATTCACCATGTGGCTTGGTAAGTTGGTCCAATGCTGAATTACCCTCACCGTGGAAAATCGGGGCCTTATTTCTAGCCAGACCCCCCTCCAGGTGCTGGGTCGTCTTATGCCCTTTGCTGGACAGAAGAGCCTCTACTGCAAGAGGTGGGGGAGGGGTGGCTCCCCAGGGGAGAGAGGTTGCTGAACTGACCCAGATGCCTTCAGAAGGTAGGAAGATGTTTGACCTTGTGAAACCAGAAGCAAACTCTGGGGCAAGAGGGCGAAAGGGGACGGGCCGTCTCGCGGGAGCAAACGGGGCTGTGGCAGACGGGTCCCAGGAGCAGTGAGGGTGGAATTGGGTCCTGAGCATAAATGAGTTTACACCCCGGCAGACATGGCCGTGCGTTGGACGAGTGGGCACAGAGGCAGACGGTAATAAAGGGAGGGTGAGAGAATCCTACAGGCCATAATGGATCACGTGGGCTTTTTCCTGTCTAGCAATTCTTTGTGTCTTAGTTTCCGTTTTTGAACAGCAGGAGCCAGGGCACCGGGCTGACAGAGGATGTGATGTGACGCACCGTGGAGTTGCCGTTTAGAGGCAAGATGCGCATCTCAGAGGGGAAAGACACATACTAGAAATACAACTGAGCTTTTGGGCTGGGCATAGCCTGTTCTAATAGAATTCATCTCCAAGTCCGTGGTGCCTGGTGCACCCCAACCATTAGCACCCCCTGTGCTGACATTGCTCTTCCATATGATGGGAGCTGCAGGCAGACTTAAGAAAGTGCTTCTCTTCTTCATTCTCCCACTGAGAGCTTTGATTTCCAGAGCAGGAGAGGCAATAACCAACATAACACTCGGAGATGTCTAGGGCCAGGGCCAGACACATGCAGCA